CTAATCCAAGTACAGAAATAAATTATTTGAACCCATCCCACTTAAGATCTCTTTGAACTTTTCCTCAACTTTTGCAATGCTTGTAATGATTACAACTCACAAGCACTTAACCACAGCACATTTATCCATATGACTCATATTATTAGGCTTAATTTTTTTGGATAGGCCTAATTAGACGTTTAATTAACTACTATATTATTAATATATTATTAAACATGAACTTAATAGCAAGTTGCCAAGTTCTATTATTGAATAATATAACCAATTTATTAGCCTCCACACGAAATACTACATGAGACCCACATGAGTATTTAAAATATAAAATTAATAAAGAGTCACACTGTTTATTAATAAGTCATGAATTATTATGCGTTGCTTTTAATCTGGCTTTCTCCATACACTTCATTGAGCTTTCTTCAGCATTGTTTTATTCCTTCACTAATTTTTCACATATTTCTATAGGGTTTAAATTTTAAAAAGATAATTACAAATTTTGAAAAGCTTTTTTTTTATTATATATAGACACATCATATTTTTTTCCAATTCATTTTCAATCAAAGGTAAGTGCACATACAATATCTCACCAAAAGAAAAAATACACCAGCGTCAACTGAAAATCTCAACAAGTTATCAATCACTTAAGTGGAGAGTCAAAATTCACAAATCAAATAGTCAATGGCTCGATGCACTTCTCTTTCAGAACCCACAGCCACTTAAACACAAGCTTGAGGAAAGCTGCTTCACTCCAAACTCAACCCAAGAAAAACAAGAAGAAGAGAAATTTCATCAGTATTATCCACCTGAAATATGCGACTGCAAGTATAAACAGAGCAGAAGGCTTGCAAGGTCATCAAGAGCAAGAGCAAGATGGCAGCCAGGAATGTGAAGCACTGCCATGAACTGAACACATAAAGCTTCATTAATTTCCAAGCTTTCACCTTTAATCTTCCATTATAGTACTTGTTCACATCTTCAATGGCTTTGTCCAAAATGCCACCTTGGTCAATCTTATTGAACTGTTCATCCCGTTCCACATATTAGCAGCCTCCTCATCGCTCTTCAAGTGGTTCAGAACAATCCCTTGTGCTCTTAGTATCTTCACATCCTCCTCAGAATCTGTAATCCCGTTCATCAGTTCAGTGTACCGTGTCAAAACCAACGGACCTGATGCTGCTGATGCTTCATATGCAACTAAATTTCTCAACACCACCTCAGTATTGACGTCTAGACTAATGGTGGGAAGGTGAAATGTGCGCGTTTTTGCATCAAAATTAATGCTTGATATGCCTTTATTTGTGGGTAAGAAACCAACCCCTGCGTCTAAGAGTTCTGAAACTGATGGAATAGCAATTTCCCCACTAATGGTGGTTTATTATTGAGACTATTTGAGCTCGAATCCCCATTTTCTGGGTTTTCTTGTTCTTTATCTAGCAAGGAAAAGAAGAAGGATTCAACAGGCACTTTAAGAATTCTAAGTCCAGGAAGGTTGGAGATGACTGTCCAAGGCAACTTAACGATGAATCTCAGAGGTCTAGATAGCAGTACCTTCTTGATCAGACGTATTGGCCCTTTGTTTATGTTTGAAAGCACCTTCCAGAGCTCACTTATGAATCTCTTTACATAGTTTGGATTTGGGGTTGATTTTTCATCCTCTTGCTCTTCTTCAAGTTGAACCTCGTCAACTTCGACTATATCAGATTGTTGTTTCAATTTGGGCACGATCATGTCATAAAAGAAATCTAACAGGTGAGCGCACCCTGAGACTTGGACATTTGGATAATCCTCCATCAGCTTGAAAGGAGAAAGTTCTTTGAACAATCCTACGGCCATTGAAAACAGTAAGTCGTCTGCAACTTCTAACGATGTGAACTTGAACTCCAACATCTCTCTCAGAACAAACAAGGGAAGCTGATTCTCAAGCATTACTATGTCTCTCAAAATTGCATTATGAGCTGATTTCTTCCCTGCATAATCTACCAAATGAGACATAGACCTTGAGGAAACTCCGGGTACTTTTGATCCTTCTTGGATGGCATAAACCTGAAGGAACTCAAGCAAGAACGAGGCATCGACCGCCATCATCCACACCAAGGTTTCGCCATTGAAATCTAAGAACTTGTGGTAGCATGCTCGAATCCTCTGCTCCAACTTTGTCAGTTGTTGCACGAGGTTTTCTAACTTGAAGCTTTGTAGTTGTTTCTGGAACCTTTTTGCAGCGGCAAGCTTGTACCTTTCCATTTCATAAAGCTCTGGACGCCAGTAATGATAAGGACCAATTGCAACTTGCTGAGGGACGTAAGAATCTGGATCACTAACCATGAGGAGCCTGGGAACATTGAAGATGGATACAGGTAGTTCACCATCATCCTCAAGTTCTTCTTCAAGTGTTCTACGGATTTGAATGACCCATCTGAGCTCATCAAAGTTGGATTTAGAGTCATCTGACATTGTGAACCTCAGAGAAGACATGTTATATGATTTTACTAATGGATGAACTTACTGCAGGAAATAGCAGTTTCGATGATATATTTAACGAAGAATGAGTTGGGAGAATGGAGCTTTAATTGGGCATAGGACCTGTGAAAGCGTTACTGAAGCTTTAAAAAAACATGAGAGCTATTCATCACCAGCAAGGTTTAGTGATAGCATTCTCTGAAGTCATCTTAAAGTGAAATATTGTGAAGTTTCGCATGGTTAAAATGGCATAGGTTAAACGTGCTTTTTATGAATATTATAAGAGAAACTTTACAGTCTGTTGCATTAGAAAATTTTAATGGAAGAATAATTAGGTGCAATATTTTATTTCACAATTGGCTAAACCCAGACCTTCCTTGCTATAAGAGCAGAGAGTTAATCTAAGATTTCTTTGAATTATTCTTTCGTTTCTTAAATCAACAGTTTCCTTTAACATGAAGAAAAGGTAGCATCTTTCAAGTGACCCGACTAGCATTTATAAATTAACATAATCTAGCAAATTGAAGATCACACTCCGCGACATGATTACGTCTTTTTGGTGTGTCTGATAAAAAAAGAGTCTGCAAGTCATATCCTTCATGAATATAAAATTGAAACAAAAATGATATAGTACCTTGTATGACCTTTTGCAATCTTTGTACTCCTCTGGTTCCAAATGTGAAACTCATTTTTAATATAAATTATATTATAAAATAGATCTTACATGTAGAACAAAAAGAATACTACATCAGACTCCATTGTTTGTGCCATACTTCCAAGGCATACTGATAATCCAGCTATACTGTATGTAAATCACCTCTCAACCCAGATCATTTCCTCGCAGTAGATTTAAAGGATGAAAAGATATTAATTTTATTGAAATTTCAGACGTTAGTAACCATGATAGACTTTGAGACGTGAATGTGGTCTTCTTTTTAACAACAATAAAAGAATTTCTTTTTTCATGAAAACTAGATTTTATTTTCATGCGCAATGCATGGAGAGATTAAAAGCTCTTTATATGTGAGAGTAAAGCAGAACCTTGAGATGGATTATTCCAAAAGGCTTTTGTGCACGGAGAGGGTGCTAATAAGGGCAAAAACCGTCGCGATTGATTACTCCTTCCAGTCATCGTAGGTGTTTTCACATATGAACAGAAAAAGAACAATGCTAATGAACAATGAATACAAGAAGGTTAAAGTAAATTTTCTTATGTACCTAAAGAGACAATTAAATCATTCCACAAATGACAAAATTCAAATATATGAGATTAATTATACAAAAATATGAGGAAATTAATAGAGATATTAATTATGAAATTCAAATTGGGGGGTTCAGGTAGAGAAAGACTACCAAAGTTATTTGTGACCTAAAAATACTTAATAAGGTAAAAGTTTTATCACACTGTTATAAGATTAGTGATGCTATATGGCATTAAATGTTAGAGTTTAAAGGGACATGAGCATAAAGTGCGAATAACTGAGATGAGAATATTGAAAGGAATATATAGTCATACAAGAAAATATAAGATTCACATTGAATATATATGCAGAAGAGTTGAAGAGCACCTAACAAAGAAAAAATGGTAAAACACGCACGTTCATAGAATGCATTGATAAGAAGGGTAGATCAAGCAATATAAGACCCTCTAAAATGGGTTAGAAGAAGACTGATAGGACCCTCTCCTACAAGCTTATAACCTGAGTAAAAACTAGAAATAAACAACACACAATGGGAATATTTGAGATTAACATACTATTACCGCATAAGGATGATTGCAACACAAAATATAATAAGCAAAAGATACAATACACTCAGACACAACTCTCACAACATACAACACATACTAGAACATAGGCACATAACAAGTTCACCAATCTTGCGAGACGATTGGCTCTCTCCCTTCGAAGGCATCAGCCACACCTCTCAGAGTTCTTCTCCGCCTTCTCCCGCTGGACCAGAGTGAAGATTTAAAGACTCAAAAAGTGACTTTTGCAACCCCTAACTCATAGACTTTGACTATAGCAGTTCGAACATAGACAGATAACAAGTTTACCAATCTTTTGAGAGGATTGGCTTTCTCCCTTCAAAGGCCTTAGCCATACTTCTCATAATTCTTCTCTGCCTTCCCCCGCTGGACCAAAGTGAAGATTTTAAAGACTCAAAAAGTGACTTTTACAACCCCCAACTCATAGACTTTGACTATAGTAGTCCCGTAACTACCCTACTCTCTATTTCTTCCTTCAAAATAGCAAATCATAATTCTTTCGAACAAAAGGTACCTTTTCCTTCACATGTATTTTCCTAGATTTCCAACAGTAGTCCTAACAAATATCGAGAAGAATACTCAAGTTATTGAGCAAAACCTTTTGATTACCAATCTATCCAAAGATTCCATAGTTAATAAAGTATAATGACACCGTCTAATCCATATAGTTGACCTCGGAAAAGACTTGTAGTTGTTGTACATCAAAAGAAAATTATCATTAACTAAAAAAGTATTAAAGTTCATGACAAGGAGGAATAGATTTTAAAGAGATATTGATATTGATGGTTGGTGATTGCAATCTTCTATGAAATCCTTTTTTTTTTTTTTTTTGGGGGGGGGGATTGTGGAGCCATATTCGAACTTCTCAAATCTCAATTCTCTAATGCATGCCCAGGCAAATGTTGAAACCATACTCAATGCCCAATAGTACAGGTTGAATTTAGTCGACCCACCCGACTAGACAAATCTAGCATAGTTTCTACAGCTTGACCACAGAATAAACGAGAACATGATACCAATAAAAGCATAACAAGTGGCAACCTGAGTAGTCCATAGGGGCAAGTCACTATGTACAGATATTTATGATCAAAACCAGGCACAGGCACTCGAGGCTCACATAATTCTTCAAGTGAAAGTCTCCACTGCATTTCAGAACTACCTTTAGCAGTTTAAAGAAATTAAATAGCAGGCTGATTATCTCAGCAGATCAGACTTATATTTGTACATATGCCTAGTAGAGGTTTATAATCAACCAATCACAATCAGTCATGTCAGGAACCACCATCAGCCAAGCAAATTAGGGAGAGTCGAGTTGTGAATCCACACAATATAGAGTCAACAGTCAAAGAAGAACAAGCTTGTTACTGTTTTGCTGATTTTTTTCTCTTTCATGGGCGTGTCAACATTTCTCATCTTCCTCTAAAGTCACCTTCGATCTATGCTATGCTATTTTCAAATTCTAGCATACTTGTATCTTGCATCTTCTCAACCTTGCTTGCTTTTCCCCAATGATACCACTGGAGAAAAAAAGAGACTCGCGCCTGTAGATATATACAAACATTGCACATGCAAACAATAGGATAAAAAATCACAACTATCCACCAGGGGATTCTCCTGTCACCTCCAGCGTTGTCCCCAACTCTTTCCTTGGCCTAGATGAAAGTCCTTTTGCTAGCATCTCTTCATCATATTTCCTGGCCATGTCTAATAATCCCTTATCCAAAAGAGCATCTATCATAGCATTGTAAGCAGATGCATCTGGACTACATCCAAGTTCTTCCATTTTCTCCCACAATAAAAATACTGGTCGAAGAAATCCCCACCTCCCAAACTTCCTCATAAGCATAACATAGGTATCCATACTTGGTCGAACTCCACTTCCAATCATTTTATAAAACAATGTCAGTATATCCCTAGGCTTTTCCATGCACGCGAAAAAGAATTGATATGAAATAGCATTCGGCTGACATCCATTCTTACGCATGGTACCAAGCATCTCAAGTGCTTGCTTATGTCTGTAGTTATCACATAAAAGCCTAATGATAGTGTTATAGGTTACGAGAGAAGGTTCAAACCCTAAATCTTTCATTTCACGAAAGAGGTTAATTGAAAAATCAACCCCCTGTGAAAGACCTATGGCACGAATAGCAATATTATAGACAACCACATCCAATTTCATCCGTTTACTCTTCATCTGCTTGAATAACTTCACAGCCTTCCAAGGCTTTCCACTTTTGCACATTATATCCATATATGTTGCATATGAATGTACATCTTTTTGAACTCCCTTTCTATCCATCTCTTCCCAAAATTCCCTACACTTGCTCCACCATCCCAATTTAAACCACCCACGAAGAACAATGTTATAGTATTTTACATTGACTTCCACATCTCCATTCTTGTTCTTCCCAAAAATCAAGTCTTCGGCTTCATTCACATGCTTGTACTCACACAGTGCATCAATAAGATTGCAGTACGAAGTTTCATCCTTTAAATTAAATTGGTGAAGCTTTTCATATGTCTCTATCGCTTCATTAACTAGATGAGCCGAAACATAACGTTTAAACATGATTCGAAATGTGGTATGGTCCGGAGAAGAAGATGGATTTTGCCGCATGCGTTGAACCAAATCCCATGAAAGTTGAAACTCAAAGAACTTACCAAGGATGTCGATCATATAATTATATGTATCAGTGGGGAGCTGCAAACGGTATTCTCTTTCGACCCAATTGAAAAATTCGAATGCGCGTTTCCAGTCATTGCGGAAGGTTAACAAAGTTTCACGAACTGTTGCGGGATCAGTATTGCTGGAACTTGGTTCGAGTGTTGGGGATTGGTGGGGAAATTGTTTGGAGGAATAGAAAAGGGTTTGGATGAAACAAAGATGAGGGAAGAATCGAAGGCGACAAGAGGCGGGCAAACCCATCGGGAAGTTTTGCAAGTGCTAAAACCCATCACCGAAGCAGTGATGCGTTTAGAGCCGAGGGATGGAGCCATAAGATCCATGGTTTACCAGAGCGGACCAAGATCCAATAAAGGCATTATAATGCGACCCGGGTTAATCCTCTTGGTTCCCAAGACAAGAACAAGGCTTGGATCTCCATATCTGACTTTTTTTTTAAAAAGTATTATATATATAATTTCTTTCAATATGTATACATATAGTTCTGAATTGATTTATACATTTATCTTGTAATTAAAACATTTTTCTACGTTGGAACCTGGAACTCCTATTATTCATACTTGAGTAATTAATTTTATTCACTTGATTTTTTTGCATTTTATCAAGTTCGAATAAAACATAATAAATGTCTGAGATGTGAGATGTGTTGCTTTAAAAAAAATGTGACATGATCAAAGTTGTTCCTATTTTATACTACCTCCAGTCCTAATTATAAGAGCCAGTTGACTAATTTGAGGAGATTAAAGAAATAAGTTGAGTTAGTTTTTTGTCCTAAATAGATGTTGTCTTTCCTAAAATATTTTTGCTAATCTAGTTTATTGACTAGAATTATCATTGTTAGAAGGGCTATTTTGAAAAAAAATGTATAAATATAAGAGACAAAGTGGATTGGGGTTTTATGTTTAGGACTAAAATAAAAATCAAATAGAGTCTTATATTAAGGATTGGAAGTAATATCTATTTCTTTTATTTTTACTTTGGTCTCATATTTGCAAAATAAAATGAATATTTTTGTTTCGCATTTTTATACAGAGACACACACAGTTACTCTCTCCATCCTTTTTTATAATCAATAACTATCATCCACTCTTTAATATATTTATTGTCTTATTTTTCAAACCATCATCTCTCTCCATCACATATTCTCTTTCTTTTATAGTTTCTTTTATTATAATAATTTTCTAATTCTTTTTCTTATACTCTCTCCTCTCATAAATAAAAGTATTTTGGGGAAAAAAACTTCTAATTTTTACCTATTTATTGTCTTTAATTAATTTTTTGATCTACATAATAGAGTCCTATGTTTTTTATAATAAGAGACGGGGGGAGTATTTAACAAAATTTAACAATTGTGGAACTTTTTCAAAATATTTTGTTTATTTATGTGATTTAATTCAATCTAAATAAAATTAACAGTTAACCGTGAAATGTGATATTCGGTAGCCGGGTGCAAGGGAAATGGGAACATACCCTTCACTTCAGCCATGGAAATCTCTATCATTCTATTTCCATGGGTTAAAGTCAAAATTTCAACCTCTATGCTCTCTCCCTCTTTCCTCTCCCTATCTCCTGTGCTATACAGCCGCCTGTCGGAATTGCTTTTTCTATTTCTTTCCAATTACAAAAATGGCGGTGGCTTCTCTTCAGTTCCCTGTAAAAGCTTTCAGGTCATTCCCTCAAAACTTTCACTTGTCATCTAGTAAATCATCTAAGCATCGCCTTGTCAGGTGTTCCGCTGCCTCCCCTCCTTCCAAACGCAATTATTCCATCACTTTACTTCCTGGCGATGGCATTGGTCCCGAAGTCACCGCTGTTGCCAAGAATGTTCTCGATCTTGCTGGCTCTCTCGAAGGTTCGTTCGAACCCCTAATGGGGTCGCATGCTTTGTGGGCTAGAGTTGAAATTCCCTTCTTTCTGTCCTGTTTCTTCTCCTAATTTTAAAGTCTCTGATTTGTGCTGCGCTATTTAGTGTTCATGTGATTCCTGTACTTGGAATTTGATAATCTCCCATTGGTTGTATTGATAACGGACGGCTTTTAGAATTAACTCAGGTTTATGCAAAGCTTACTTGCTTCTCTCTGGAAATAATGGTGTTTAGCTCAGTGGACTGGCTACTTATTGTGTTGTCCTATATAGAATTTACACTTTAAAGTGACGCATTATAAGATGAAAACGAAGAGTTCTGTACTAATTTCTGCATACCAAGCATTACCCTCTCTGTGTGTCTATTTTAGCATCTCCTCCTTTCTTAAATCAGGGATTAAATTTAATTTCCTCGAGATGCTTCTGGGTGGAGCTGCATTGGACGAGACAGGAGTCCCATTACCAGAAGAGACATTATCTGTAGCAAAGCAATCTGACGCTATTCTTCTTGGCGCAATTGGAGGGTAGCTATCTTTTCACAGACTCTTGTTTGGAATTTGACACTAGACCACTTTTATACTCAAATTCTTCCCTCTACTAGACATTATGTGTCCTTTCATTTAATTACTTAAGGTATAAATGGGATAACAATGAGAAGCGTTTAAAGCCAGAGACTGGGTTGCTTCAGCTACGGGAAGGTCTTAAAGTATTTGCCAATTTAAGACCAGCTATTGTATTCCCACAGGTAAAAGTTTAATTCTCCTGGAAAATCATTTAGTTGATATTTAGGTATAAGATTTATGGAATATGTAATATCCTATGTGACGAGAAAAGAAAATGTAATATCCCCATGCTGACTTATGAAATTTGAAACACAGGGAAATTTAATTTCCCATATCTTATGCCCCGCTATCACATAAGCAGGAATGTAAATAGAAGGAAGCCAAGTCTGGCTTCTACCTTTGCTATCAAATACATTCACGCATCATATAATAAGGATTTTACTCGCTAAGAACATAGGTCATTATTTCAGTTAATATTCTTTTAAATCCTCATCCTGGGCTAGAATTTTGGCTGAGTTTAACCATAGTTTCTGGTGAAATATTAGCATTATTCTGTGCAACAGTTATTGAATCGTTCGATATTATAATGCCATAGAGCACGACTTCATGTTTGATATTATACATCAGATGCTAACTGATATCCCTTACCCAGTATCTACCATTTTGTATTAGTTTTCGAGTTGGCTTTGGCATTCTATAAACTTTTGTGAATTGTCCTGTAGTTAATGGATGCCTCAACTTTGAAGAGAGAGATTGTTGATGGGGTTGACCTCATGGTTGTAAGGGAACTCACTGGAGGTCTGTCGGGCTTTGATTTTGACTGTGTACAGTGGATTTGATTTTCTTTTATGATCTTTGAAATAGTAACTGTCAACTATTTTAACAACTTTTGAATTTATTTATATTTTATTTATTATTCATTTTTTTCCATTTTCTTTAATTTAGAAATACTGTAGCTAAGCCTGTTGCTGTGTTGCTGTATTAGGCATTTACTTCGGAAAACCCAGAGGCTTCGGTACTGATGAAAATGGTGAAGAGACTGGCTTCAATACTGAGATTTATGCTGCACATGAGGTATCTTACTTGTCCAAGTTGGTCCTCTAGATAAAACATTTGTGATATCATTATGTTATCATTTCTTCATGCCATTGCTGCTTAACATATGTATTCTTGTGAAAAATTATTTTAATAACTTCTTTTATCTTGTCTTCCTATTGATTTTCTTCTAGAACTTTATAACCTATGGCTAATCTGAATTTGATATTTCTTTAAGCAATTTGTGGCTTCATAATTTAATTTGATGAAGGATGTTGTGTTTCTTGATCCTTCTTTTATTGCAAATTCTAGTTTCTCCAAAATATTTGAATATAAAAAGGAGGTTGATAAGAATTAAAAGCGGAACCTGAGAACTGAAGATAGAAAAGGGGGAACCATATAAATACCTTTTTTTTAATGGAATATATACAAATGCTTTTGATGTATACGGACAACAATGGGCAAATTGAAAAGCTTAGAAGAATAAAAATAAGGGATCACCATGGATAAGAGTTAGCATGGTTAAAAAAAATTTGATATGCTTGGGATTGCTAGAGAAGATATGCATGTGACTGTTTTGTAAAGACTGTTTACCTTGGAGGAATTTGCTAGAGAAATAGAATTCGTTTGAAGGATGTAAGTTGGTGTTTGAATCAAAATTTATATTCATTCCAAATTAGAGAGATATGGGCTAGTTTTTACTTTTTATAGTACATTAAAAATCTGCAAATTCTGCCAAAAGATGGGAGTTGCAGTGCAGTTTCTATCATGTGATGTCATGTCATGTTCGTGCTGTGTTTTTCTTTTGTCCCTTGGAAGAATTTCTAAGGTCCTTTTGGAGAACTAGCATTTTCTAAGAGGAAGTGTATGGGAATGTATATGTTGTGGGATTCACATTTTTATTTTCCCTCCAAAAAGAACTTCTATTTTTCTTGTCACCAAAAGCAAAAAAAACTTTTTTTCTTCCTGAGATTTGTTGCTGCTGTCCTGTCCTTATGATAAGTGTCATAATCCCTAAAACTATGACTGTCTCTTTCTGTTCAGCTCAAAAAAAAAATTGATTGTCTGTTTCTGACGTTTGTTAACTCTTAAACCAGATTGATCGCATAACACGTTTTGCATTTGAGATTGCTCGGAAGCGGCGTGGGAAACTCTGTTCTGTTGACAAAGCTAATGTGTTAGAGGTACTTATTACTTCATCCAGTACGTTACTGGCAATTGTACTATTCTGAATAATCACAGTAAGTTTGTGGGTAGTCTCTGGTTGTGAGATTGAGAGACATACTGATTTTTTTTTTTTTTTTGTGTGCTCATGTTCATTTATCATGTTCTCTACAATATATGTCTCAATTAGTTGTCGTTGCGTTAGGGTAAAAGATTTCTGAGATTAGCTTCTCATTAAAGGTGTGAAACTTATAATGAAGACACATCTTGGCAGTTTTTTGATAAACATCATATGCGGGATAATTTGCAGCACGAGTCAATTTGTGAAACTTTTAAATAAAACTTCAAAGATGCAAGTTATATCATCTGCAAAATTTTATACGACTGAAAAGTAATTAAAAATTTAAAACTTGCCTATGATTTGGCTACTAATGAATAGTAATGAGGAAAAGATACGTGGTATATGATACACTTGTGTCCTTTTCCAACATATCTTAATGAGTCTGGCGTGTCTATTTTTTTCAGGCATCAATGTTCTGGAGGAGAAGAGTTCTGGCAATGGCACAAGAATATCCGGATGTTGAGCTCTCACACATGTATGTTGATAATGCCTCAATGCAACTAGTTCGCTATCCCAAACAGGTCTGCTTATGGAATGTATTAGTATAACCTGAGTTCCATTTCAATTTAAGCTACATTAAATGCAATTAACAGAACGAAAATTCTTTAAATTCAAAAATTGCAAAAGTTACATGTTTGATGCCGGTCTTTGTAGTTTGACACAATTGTAACAAACAACATATTTGGGGATATACTATCAGATGAGGCTGCAATGATCACTGGAAGTATTGGGATGCTTCCTTCTGCAAGTCTTGGGAATTCGGTATGAAAATTTTCATTATAATGTAAGATGACGAGCATGTTTAGGGTGAGTGACTATCTTTTTCACCTGACCATATTGGGTTCTGATTGGCTCAGGGACCTGGGCTTTTTGAACCTATACATGGCTCTGCTCCTGACATTGCCGGACAGGTTGGTTTTTTATACTCTCCATTTTTTGGGTCGTTTATCTTTACGCAACAGCCATTACAACCACATAATTATCTTTATACAGGACAAAGCAAATCCATTTGCTACTGTTCTTAGTGCTGCTATGCTTTTGAAGTATGGTCTTGGAGAAGATAAGGCTGCTGAGAGAATAGAAAATGCAGTTTTGGACACCTTGAACAGGGGATTTCGAACTGCTGACATATATTCCGCTGGAACAGTAAGCGTGCTGGCTGCGTAATGTCAAGAATTTTTTAAATTACACTTAAATAGACTAAAGAGCCAAATGCCTACTATGTTTCATCCCTTTACTCTTTCTCCATGATGTCATTGATATCTCTACGTGTCTCTCTATTAACTTTTGTCTTGGTGTTCATGTAATTCTCATCTTTCTGCTAAATGAACTTGGCTTGCACTGTGTAACGCCTGCATCGTCTGTTTATGCAGAAACTAGTAGGATGCACACAGATAGGTGAAGAGATAATGAAGTCAGTTGAATCGCAAGTTCCTGCTGCAGTATAAATCAGACATAGATATCCATCCACAAAAATTTGAGTGCTGGGTTTGGCTTGAAGATCTCTTCTGATGGACTGTGATTTACCTATGCTTTCTCTAATGGATTCTAGCAGAAAGAATTTTCCCATACTGAAGAGAATTCCAGGTTCCTTTTATGCGAGGTTAGAAAATGTTCTAGTGAAAATTGGGAACATTTAAAATGTAGTTTGATAATCTACACTCAACTCCTGTACTCACAGTAGGGTCCAATGAATGTGGAATTTTCTTGCTTGAGTATCTAATTAGGCTTGAATCAGTGTCGTCTAGGCTTCCTTTTCATAAAAGATCAAAGTGTCAATCATCGCAAACGCTATGGGTGAAGCTATACGTCTGAATTCCATGCTGGCGTTCGAATTGCAGCTTTCTTGTGGAAACTGCACTTCTTTAAATTTAAAAAAGAAAAAAAAAACTGATAACATAACGTGAATACGTGAAAATGTAATTTGTCAATCGGTTTCCGCATCGTTATCTTGTGTCCAAATGCAATGTCTTTTCATCTCTTTTAAAAAGACTAATGATTGTTATAAGATTAAATTCAAACTTTCTATTTATAGTTAATTAGTTGAGAAGTTTTATAGTTAGTTAATGATACTCGATTAAAAAAAATTAATGTTTTAGACAAAATATATTATTTTCCCCAGATATTTTTTCTTGGCAAAAAAAAAAAAAATTACTTCCATCTATCTCCAATATATAAGCAAATAAATTTAAAAGGTTCCTGGCATCAAGTTGGAGAGCTGTTATTGGTGCTTTCATTCATTAATTCACCGTTCAAACCCAAGTTCACTGTAATAGTGGCTTGATTAATTTCCTCTGTATGTGAAGTGTACTACAAGCAACTAAAAACTCAAATGAAATAGCATGAGCACGAAGTGGAATGTGACAAGTTTTATATCGTTTGTTCCACATTTAAAATGATTTTTCAAAAAAAAATTTAACTTTTTCATTTTACCTCATTTAATTATTCATTTTAATATTAATACATTCTTTATCACACGTCCCCACAGCATAATTTCTTCTTTCACTCGCACTCTCCCTCCGCCACGTATTCTCTCAAGATTAATAATTTTCCTGTTCTTTCCTTTATCTCTCCCCAAAACTAAGAGTATTTTTTCCTAACTAATTTTATAAAAAGAAAAGGAGGAAATAAGAAAGGAGAAATTTTATTAAGATTTTGAATAAAACATGATTTATTAATTTGTGCCATTTATAATCATAATTAGCCCCTAAAAGGTACTGAATAGAAAAACAGTTCGATCACAGCTTCTACAACGACATATAACCACTTCCCAAATCATCTTCAATGATTTGAAATGTCAAGCACAGGAAATATATTAATAATTAGGTTCACAAAAGATTATGATCACTTCAATATTATTTACGGAATAACTTAAGATTTAATTTAACATTCTATATTTTTCAATTAATATTATCTCTTTATTTACATTGGAAACGAGATGCTCATGTTTCACTGAAGCTATCTGTATAAACTGTAATAATGCAAAATTAATTGAAAAGATTTGAAAGTTTTGATCTGAAATAAACAGATGCATGGATTAGGATTAGACAAGGCAACGAAGTAAATTAAATTAAACTAAAACAAGCATTACAAGGCTCTTAATTTCCTCAAAATTTTCCAGTCCCCTAATTAAACTACCATAATATTAATAATGACCAATTTTCTTCAACAGCAGTCTCATGAGCCTTCTTCTTCTTCTTCAACCTTTCGTTCATTCTGTTAATTACTTGGAGATAGCTCGTCTCAGGCTTTTCACTATGCCACTCACCGTCAAGTTGAATTCCTCCCCCATCTGCAACACATATTTGTTCAACTTTGTGGGAAACTTGTAAGAAATTGTAATTTCTCTCAATAACTTCAAAGCCCATCAACTTTGTGGGAAACTTGAAATTCGTAGAGCTTCACAAGTAAAATTTAAGAAATTGTAGAGAAGCGAACTATAATTTAACATTATTGAAATTAAATAAGCACAGAATTAAAATTAAATCTCATACCCTCTCTTATAAATATAAAAAAGTTACTTAATTAATATAGGTGCATTAAGAAAGTCAAATAAACTAGTTAATTATTACAAATGTCACATAATTTTTTTGATATAAAATGTTTGATTATATGTTACTTTATAAAATAAATAAATCAGTTTGAAAAAAAATGATACAGATAAAAGACAAAATAAGTTGAGGTTTTACATATTTAGAATCAAATTCAATCCTCAATTAATTCTTATATTATAAGCCAGAGTTAATTAGGGCTAAAAGAGAAACATATAAGTAGAATAACTCATAAACTTAATGGCTTTAAGTTTTAGGTGAAGAAATGTTGTTTAATATCTCTCATCTTAAGATGTTCTCCTAAGAAAAATATTCTTCATAAGTGAATAATCCTCCACATATATTTATGTCTTACATATTAAAATTGGTACATTGATCTAAAATACAATTTCAAACTTTTGAAAAATATAAAATGTTAAGCAAACAAGTTACTAATTGAAAACACTTCAGTAAAAGAATTAACTAATTTCTTAATAATAAGTATGATCATTGAGAGTATCTCATGTACTTACCTGAGCAACAATGGTGATGTCAAGGGTGAATTTCCCAAACGGCAAAACGCTGCTACTGATAACAGAGAGATTAAGAGCTTCAAGCTGAGACATTATTTTATGCATAATGCCCTTTTGTTTCTCACAGTGAATTATTATCAGCACCTCGTTCTCGGAAACCCTAGCTTTCACCTCAGGCAGCGACGCCTCATACCACTCGCCGCCGCCGCCGGTCTCACAGCACGACGACGACGCGCCATCGTCGTAGTTGTTGTTGTTATAACCTCCGGACGTCTCCGCCGCACTTGTCTTGTTCTGCTTCTCGAGCTCTCTCACTCGCCCCTCCAGATAGCTCATATAGTTAATCGCCTTCTCCAGGTTTGCATTAATGTCCGTCTACATTTCATCAATCAACCTCTTCATTAATCAACCAGAATGATGATCATAGTGTGTGTGTGTGTGTGTGTGTGTGTAACTAATATATAATTACTACCTGATAATGGGGCCAATTCTCTCCAGATCCCTCCATGGAAGAAGAAGAAAGATAGCTAGATCACCAGCATCAGAATGAATGATAATCGATGTGGATATATATCTTCTGGTTTTCTGGGTGTGATATATATATATATGATGATGATTCTGCAGAAAAATGAAGTTTAGAAAAGGATAAGAAGAAGAAGAAGAAGAAGAGGGTGGGAGAATGGTGGGTCAAGTTGCGTATAATAATGCATGAAGTGAAAGCTTTTTATCTTAAAATAAGAGGAAACGAGACATGGACAAGACCCTGTTTCAAAGTTTAATACCAGAAAATGTTGTGCTCGCTAAACATGCAACTAGCATTTCCACCGTCAGATTCTAAAGATTACACCTGTCAGTCATCTGACCTCTCGGAATAGACCATTTGGAAATCCTAATAATAAGTGCGGTGTTAGTATGCGGCTGGCTGATTCTGCAATGTTATTGCTGGTCGTCCACCTACATGCAACCTTTGGACAGAGGCATTCTGGTAACAAAGTCTTGATCTGAATTAATTGGTTGTTTGGATATTTGGTAATAAGATTTAAAAAAAAGAACACTCTCAAAGGGCTGTTATTAAAAAAAAAAAATGAAAAGTCAAATGTTAAAATAAAAAAATGTTTCAACCTTAAAGTAACTTTTAAGCAAAAAATATCTTTTTGCCATCATCTATATATGTTTGCCTCCAACTGATTTTTGAAGCTCCAAAGTGAGTTTTGAAATCCGAAACAAGCACCAACTAATTACAAACTAATTGGCATATTGTCTTTTTTTTTTTTGCCCCCCTTTAGAGTTACTTTTTTCCTAAATATTACTAAAAGGGTGTTTGGATAAAAACTAAACCATAGTTTCAAAAGTGATTTTACGGTATACGAAGTAAATATGTTGATGAGTTTATCTCAATTTACAGAAAAGCGTTTTTAAAAAGTACTTCTCCTAATTCCCAAACATCCCCTAAATCAATCATTATCCAGATAAGGCATGAAAGGTTAAAAAGTAACTGAGAAAAATTATATAGTCAGTAGTGAGCATGGTGAAGGGGCACAGGATGGAGGATCATTCCTACAATTGTATATAATATGAAGGCATGAATGGCATGGGACATAATTAATTAATTAAAGGAGACCTGTGATGCGGTTAATTAATTAGTCTTCCTGGGTTGACCTTTTTTATGGGATATACAACAAATTAAATTAATTTTTAGAAACATAGAATAAAATCCTAAACAGGGCATTGTCCCTTATAGTCTTCGACTTTGATAGGACCTGCTCCTAGGATCATCAGAGAGTTGTTTGGGCCATGTGTTAACAGATATTTTACTCTTCAATCACCAAATTCAAGTACTATTCTATATGATAATTTGATATATAATACTAATTCCGATTTTAAATATAAATTTAGATAGGAAGTTGACTTTTATCTTAAATATGACGTATTAATTCATTTTGTCTTTTAAATTTATAATTTTTTATTCAAAATATTCCCATTGATTGCATGAATGCACAAATAATATTTAGGGTTGTTGAGATTACAAAACTCTGGTCAATAAAAAAAAGGAGACATAATTTTTTTACAATGAATTTAAATAAACTTGTACATATAAACATGTCAATATTATATTCAAATTCAAAACCTCATTATGATAACTTGCGGTGTAGGGGAAAAAAAAAGGCATGATACAATGAAGAAAGACAATAGAATCAGAAAGGTAGAAAACTTTTTAAAGAGGTTAAATATATGGCGTTTTCATCTATCAAACATATGGGCCCATTCCTGTCTTTCACTTGTAGTTTTTCATTGGATATATATAAAATTATAAATAATAGAATAAAAATATATTTGCTTCCCTTTTAATTATGAGTTTCTTTAACCTGTAACAGAGGAAATAAGAATGTATCAAAGTTTAATAAATTATTTTCTTTTAAGGTTTGTGATGTTTTGACATGCCATCTATATGTGTATATAAATGGAGGATTGAAGCCTTGGATATTGATATCCACCATGGAGCCATAATAAATTGTAAGACGAGAGCACTTTAATTAATTTCATTTTGGGAATTCCTTTCAAACAGGAGAGGTAAAAAAAAGAGTAGAACAAATTAATTGTTTTTATTATATCAAAAATGTTTTTACAATCTGCTTATTTTTTTATCATTTGAGCTGGTTTTAGATAAGTGAAAAGAACAAATATTTTATTATTGTGCAGGAGATGGTTCGCATTATTTTATTATTATATTTCTTCACACCAAGCGTAAGAAGAAATAATATTTAAAAGGGAGAATGCCAAAGGCGCGAGAAGCACCAAGGGGAAAGAAATTGCATGGTGAAGATAGTGAGATGGTGACACGTGGAAGGTGAGGGATCCAACGGTGGATAAGGGAGTTGCGTGTGAAACGAGGAGCAATTAGTTTAATCCTAAAATCAGAAGGATGAGCTGGCGGGGCTATAAGAGGAAAGGAAACGCTTTTCCAAATTCCGGATGGACTCCTCTTTCCTTCTTCAATTTCTATCTCTCTCTCTCACAGCTGAGGCTGCAATATTTGCAGCCAAATGCAGAATTTGAAGCCCAATCATGGCATGCAACTCTGATCCTTGCTAGTGTATCATGCACTTCTCCCCCTTAATTCTTCTCTTCAAGTTTGTTCTCTCTCTTTCTCTATCCACATATACATATGTTCACATAGTTTGTGTGTGTATTCATAAGAAAATTAGAAAAAAAGCCTAGAAATTTTATTAATAAAAAGGATCTGAACTAAAGTATTGATACTTTACATATATACATCATTTATAAAAAATTATCAAAATCCTTCTCACCATTAGATTTTTTATGAGAGATTTTTTCTCAATTTTCTCTTTGATCATTATGTGTATATTCACATGTTATTGACCTTATTATTTATATTAAAAGTGTACATACACATATAACTTTCACCACTTTGATGAGACAAGGGAGATGCTCAAAAAGAGTAATGACTTCTCAAGTTTTCAGTTTTCCTTTATGTTATGCAAATGTTATGCATCTCTATCCCATTTCGTGAAAATTAATATAAATTTTGTACTACCTCCGATTATTAATATAAGACCCTATTTGACTTTTATTTTGGTCCTAAATATAAAACCTCAATCCACTTTGTCTCTCATATTTATACTTTTTTTTTCAAAGTAGCCTTTCTAACAACGATAGTTCTAGTCAATATACTTGATTAGCAAGAATATTTTAAAAAAAACAACACGTATTTAGGACAAATAACTAACTCAACTTACTTTCTTAATTTCCTCAAATTAGTCAATTGGCTCTTATAATTAGGACCAGAGGTAGTATTATATATTTTTTTTTTATGCTAGCTCTCTGATTGATACACCTCTATCTTTACAAATCATAAATACTGCAACTTATATTTTGGGTTTGGTATAAAAAAAATTGAGTTTTATTGTTATATCAATATAATATCTATATTTTGATACACCGGAATAATATACAGTGTGATTTATTTCTCAAATTCGGGTAATTGGAGAAATTAAAACTAGGTTTTTAAATAGGATTTTATTTAATGATATTGTGCACTTTTAGCCTTTTTTCATGTTTTTAAATAAAAATTTGTATTATTCTGGGTACTTTGCGACTTTTACCCCATTGTGCCATATGGATCTTTTAACTTTTAGTTGGAAATTAAATGCTTGAATGAGAATTAGTGGAGTTACCATTTGATACACTAGCACGGATCAATGTTACACGTCATGTTATATTTTACATCATAGTTTTGTTTCTTCCCAATTCAAACACTGCCAATTTAGTTATCCTATTTAAATAGGGAACGATTCTGATTAATATTAATTTTTCTCATTTGTAAAATTTATTTTTTTAATTATTTATTTACACTCAATTGTTACCCGACATATAGGTGCAGAAAGGACTCATTTAATATTGGTTAAAAAGGCTATTTATTAATAGTGAATTTTTTATACTGAATATATTGACTTTCTCCACCAGTTCTTGAAACCGATAATGCATAAAGGTGATGAACTAAGGGTACAAGAAGAATGAGTGAATGAACGATTGTAAGTGGGTGGCTTGGTATATGTGGAACCACGACGGATTTCTCCAAAGACAGAACGTAACTGGCGGAATCTGCTACGACAATGGCTTCACTTTCTGAAGATAAAGCTAATGCATGGATTATGAAGTCTTTCTTAATTTTAATAAAATATGTTCAAAATATCTTATAAATAGCATCTAATAACATGTTTTTATTTTGTTTCAATAGCACTGAATATCATAAAATAAATTCACCCTCTCATTAGAAGCAATTTTGTTTGAGGTACTGTCAGATACTAAATATAATAACCTCTCCAATAAAGATTCAAATTTTGCCTGTTGCGAGGGGTTAGTTTCTTTCTGCTAGAGTCAATCCCGTTAGAAAAAGACATATGCATGCATACAGTAACGGGACTGTGAAGCAGGCGGTCCAATAAAATTCAAAGCCCAGCCTATCATTTTTTTTAAAAACAAATTGGTCTATTTTCTCATCAAACACACAAACAAACAAAAAATTACCCATTGGTAGAATTAATGGCTTTGTTTGGTTATAGTTTTTTTCTCCCGGTTTTAACTGATTGGAACAATTTTGCAGAAAAATTTAAAATGTTTGTTCAAATTATTACTCTGAAAAATATATTTAAAATGGTGACCATGTTATTGCTGTAATCTATCTGTCTCCATATCTCCACGCATTCTAATCGAAAAATTACCATCTGATTCGACGAAATGGGCCAACTTGTTCGATGATAAAAGTTGTGATGACAAGGCAAAGACATCCGACAATATTTTTGAAAATCAAACCCAGAAAAAAAACTGACAAAGTAAAAGATCATTTAAAATTAAATTTAATTTTCTTACTTTCTATGCTCGTTGACGGTTAATCAATGCAGAAGAATGAAAAATACTCCTCCGGTCCTTAATATAGGATCCAATTATTAAGTTGATTTTGATCCTAAATATAAGACCCATTTCTCATATTTATCAATTTTTTCTAAATTACCCCTATGGATACTCCTTTAACCATAATCAAATAGAAGAGGAAGATGGGGTATTAAGAAAGATGATTATGGTGTTTTAGGAAAAATGTGTCACTTTTCTTATAATTAACCAACTTACCTAACTTCCTTAATCTAATCAAATTAGTTAAATGGGTCTTATATTAAGGACCGGAAGAATACTTATTTTTAAAAAAATTGATAGCTTTCGTACATGAGATTTATAACAATGCACCCCAATTAAGAACTAAGCCTTGATTCCACACCAACGATATTTTACTCAGCCTCTTGCCGGCTAACTCTTCTGGTAAGAACAGGAAGTATTGTTCAGTTGACTTTTTTTTTGACCGGGTATTGTTCAGTTGACTGCCCTCAATATAAAAGCATCATTATAATGGGTGCAAATCATTAGGAGGATTACATACTTTGAACAACTAGACGATGAGAGTGTCTGGATAAAATCAAATTATGATTTAGAGAATAGCTTCTAAAAAAAATTATTTGCAGAATAGATTTTGTAAAAAAAGTGATTTTGATAAAGTGAAAATGATTAGATAATTATTATCAGAAGCATTTTTTCAAGCACAAATTATTAAAAAGAACATAAATTAATATGATAATTACATAAAAAATAGATTTTAATTTATATTTTGATTTGAAGTAGTAAATTTGTTAATAATATTTTTGTCAACATAATAAATAATATATAAAAATATAATCAAATAATTATTAATATCTGTATATATATATTTATAAAAATAACACTAAGCATGTTTTTAAAAAATGATTTTTTGCCAACTGAAAAATATTATTTTATCTTAAAGGCTTTAAACATAAAATCTCATGATTTTCTTTTGCAAAATTGAATTTGAAATTTATTGTATAACAATTGATGTGAGGAATTTTTTTCTCCAAAAGAGACAAATTGCTTGCATGTAAATAATTATCATATTGAATAATATGTCATCATCACCTTAGAGAGAGAGGAGCTAAGCTTCAATTCATCCCTCACAATAATCAAAGCCTTTCATTCTCTCTGCCTCTCTTTCCTCTCTGACACATATCATAATTATGCAACAGCCGTATTTTCACCCTCCAGAAATGATTTTTTTTTGTTTTGTTTTTGGATGAAACCATGGTTTTGAGGCAAAATGTGGTTTTAAAAATTTACGAGATGTTTGAATAGTTTTTAGGTCAAATTATGGTTTAGACTCTAAAAGTATTTTTGGCAAATTTGCCAAACATCTCCGATATCAAAGAAACCTTCCCAGCCTTAAACTGATTATACCCACGTCTACGGGACTTTGGATTCTCTCCATTTTTTCTACTGTCCACTTTTATCCGCTTCCTATATCAATCTTTAGATCGAAATTTAAACACTCGCTATTTCATATTCTATAAAATTATTTGAACACGGGCGCCAACTCATTCTTCAACGATCCCAAACACAAATGAACCTCCATCTCTCACCAGAACTTCCTCTCCGCCATCGAAAAGAACGCGAGCGACTCGCAGAGCTGAACACAGAAACAAGTCCAGATCCTCCTCTGAAGTCATTCATCACATTATGACCGAGAGGAGAAGAAGACAGGACCTCACTCAAAAGTTCATAGCACTCGCCGCCACCATCCCCGGCTTGAAGAAGGTCACTTAGCTTTCATTCTCTCACCACTTACTTGGATTATATACATAAAATACATAAAATCTTGTATTGTTGAGTGTGTATAGATGGACAAGGCGACTGTCCTTTGTGCGGCGACCGATTACGTGAAGCGACTTCAAGAGCGAGTGAGAGAACTGTGAGAGTAGTGAAGAGAAGAGGAAAATAAGAGTAGGAACAGTGAGAAAAGAGAAAACCTCAACGGAGAAGTGTTGGTGTTGCAGAGCCCAGGAAGCGGTTGAGGTTCCAGAAATGGAAGTGAGGGTTCTGGAGAATGAAGTTCTGGTTCGGGTTCAGTGCGAGGGCCGACGAGATATGATGCGGAAGACGGTGGAACTCCTTGGACACGTTCATCTCTCAGTCTTATGCTGTAACTCTCTGGCTTTTGGAAACTCTGCTTTGAGCATCACCATTGTTGCTCAGGTACATTCCTTCCTTCAACTCTAATGAATCGTCAGCGTTTTCTTCGTCGTGTACCCCTGCAAGCTGGTTGTTTGCTGAATCTATTATTATTGCAGATGAAGGACCAATACAAGATGAAGGTGAATAAAGAGACAAAGGAAGGGGGATTACGATAGGTAGCTACAATTTAACTTTTCTTAGTGGTGGCCAAGAAAAATTAACTTTCTTATATGCAATTCATCTTCTTTTTGTGCAACTAAATTTTCATTATGCACAATCTGTATCCATCTTTCCTTGTGCAATTTATGTTTCTTATGTGTAAATTATTCGATTGTATCTGAATAATGTTTTGTGCAAACTGGTATCTCTGCGTACAACACAAGTTACTTCGTGTGTAATTTATCTTTCTTTGTATATTCCTTCATTATATGAATCATTTGTTAATTACTTTTTTTAATGAGAAATTTATTCCCAATTTTTTCCAAATTAATATCTTGCCTTTGCACTTTAAAAAGAAAAAAAACCAAATAGAATACTTTTAAAAATTAAACCAAAAAATTCAACAAAATAAACAACATATTTTGCAACTCCTTTTTCAAGGAGTACAAGTAATAAGATTGATAATATAATGAACTAGATATTTAGAAAGTTTCCCCAAAATATTGCCCCACAGACCTTACACCTCAGAGCCTAAGCCTTAAGGTTATATAATCTGATCCTATCAAGTTTGTTTTAATCGGTATAGAAACGCTTTCTATACCCTGAATTCGTTATTCATTCTTGCTTCCTCCATTTTCAACACTGAACTCAGAAATCTCTCTCATGGCAACCAACATTCATTTCTCAAATCTCAAATGCTTTCAACCTTTGTTGGGCTCGTGGATTCTCCTCTATTTCGGCGTTAGAGATTCCTTTATGTCCCGTTTGGTAGTATAGAAGAGTTTTTAATGGAAATTAAAGTCAAACTGAAAGTGAAAATAGTATAAGTGAAACTGGAACTGGGTTTTAAATTGTGTTTGGTATGATGATGAAATTGATATATTTTGTTACCCATAAAATTGGAAAAAAAAAAAAAATCAACCCATCGAATGAACACTCCCATTGTTCCGTTACCAGTAGCTCTTCCGACAAGCAAATGCAATCTAAAATTCATCAACAATTAATCTAAAATAATCAAATGGGAACGTGGGAAGGAAGAACCCAGATCGATTAGATGTGCAATGTGATGTGCGTTTGCTTTCGATGATTTGAGATTTGAGATTGAAAAGCAAAGTCTCTTTTTTTTTTTTTGGACCAAAAGTTGAAGAGCAAAGTCGAGTCCTTCCATTTCTTCCATAGGCAAGTACTGTGAAGCAGCGAAGGGGTTTAAGGAATCATTCGGAAGGCCATTAAACCAGAGGAGTTCACTGCCATTGTTGTGGAAAAGGGAGGCAGATTTGAGTTGGATTCGAATGGAGCCTAAGTAGAGCCGGGAAAACTCATTTAGGCCCTCAAATTATGAAGGTCGGGTTTGAAATTTTTCTCCTCAAATTAAAAATAGACCTTGAAGGGCCGAAGGCTTAAAAGGATTAACCCGTTTAGACCTTTTTATTTTTTTTTATTTTTTTTAATTTTTTATGTAATTCTAATATTATTAATTTTTTACATTGTTAATAATATTTCAAATATTTAGTTATTATGATCATTTTAAAATTAAATTTTACAGAATGATTTGATTTATTTAATTTTAGACAATAATTTATCCAATTAAATTTTTTTAAAAATGGTTTAATTTAGACTTTAATAATGATTTGATTTATATTATATACGTTGATATTTTTAAACTATATATATTTGATAATAGAGTATTTTTATATTTATATAACTTGTGATTCTATAATTTGAATTAGAAATTCATGAGTTTCAACAACAATGTTTCTCATATTAAAGTAAAATAATAGCTAGATTACAAAATTTAAAAGTAAAATTCCTATAAAGAAGAAAAACTTGATATTTTTGTTATGAAAGAAAAGCATATTTATGAAGAAGAGTAATTGATTATAGTGATGATAAAGTTTCAAAAGATTAATGATATTATTTATTTATTGCACAATTGCAGTATAGATAAAACTTTTAGATATTATTATCTTGTTAATAAATGTTTTAGGTCTTCTTGAATGTTGATGGATATTTATATATGATGATATTTTGTATTTGTGACTTAATTTTATTCATATTTATGTCTTTTATTAATATTTTTATTGGTTTATTTTTATTTTTTATTAAAAAATATGAGAAATATAAAAAATAGCATTTTTTTTAAACGGAACAAAAGCCCGCGGGCCAACCCTGAGCCCGTTAGCTTAAGGACTGGGCCTAGCAAATTAGGATATTTTTAAAATTTCGGCCCTGAAGGACTGGCCCTTTTAAGCCTGCCAGTTCTAGAGGGCCAGGCCGGCCTTGATTCCCACCTCTAAGTCTATGTGGCATTCACTGCCATCATCGTGGAGAAGGTCATCATTCTTTGGAGTGGAAATAGGTCAAGACGGCCTATGCCCTGACCTGCATTTGGCCTAGCATATTTCAAAACAGAAAAAGACTCAAGTATTTTTGACAACCTGTTTAATCTAATAGACCAGGTTTAGGCTTTTTTGAAAGTCTGTTAAGCCTAGCATGCCCTATTTATTTATCTTAATTTTAATTTTATACTTATATCTAGTCTTATTTTAAATTTTAATACATATTTATAACTTGTTTTTAATAATATTAACCATAATTAAAATTTAAAATATTACTTATGACATTAAAATTTAAATAAAAAATAACTATTATGTAGTATGTATATTTTACTTTTTTTTATTAGTCGATGTACTTTTTACTGTGTATTTTAAAAATTTTAAAATTACAAGCTCTTTTAGCATGTTCAGGCCATGCTAGGCTCAGGTTGAAGAAAAAAACCCATAATAAGCTACAGGCTGGGCTCAAGCCAACTTGTCAGTAAAGACCTGTTAAAAATAAAGTCTCACCTGACCTAGTGTGCTTTCTCCCCTGACCACCGTCACTATAGGTGAACCATCATCACTGACGCCATTGGAGGTGAACGGTCACCGCCACCCGCCCCGAAGATGGACTGTCGCTGTCATTGCTAGGGATGGACCAGTGGAGAGATGGAGGATGGGGGCTGGATTCAAGGGCTAAAATGTTAGTCTCCCAATTCTCAGGAACTGGAACTCAGATCCTGGGGGGTTGATGAAACCTGCTTCCATCATTTTTAATGGAAGTGGGTTCCATGTGGAATTGAGTTCCGCGACGCCAAACACTCAAAATGTTGACTTCTGATTTTAGTTCCAATTCTCAAAGCCTGATTCATGCTAACGAACAGGGCATTACTTATGTTATTTTAAGTTGCTGTAATTGATTCATGGCGGGCCATCGTGATTATTGTCAAACTCGCCGGTTGATGTTTTAAGTTTAACGTTTTATGTTTTTATCTTACAAAATCATGTTAGCTGGCTCTTAAATTTGTACTAACTATAAACTTAGTTGAATTCATGAGTTCACTAATTAAATTTATTGTTTTTATATCTTTAACTTATAAAATCATATCAACTTGCTGTTAAAGTCATATTAATTTTTTAGATTTGATTATGATTGGCGTTTTTATATATGAACTATAGAAATTTATTTAATTTATTGAGTATAGTAAACTATCAATATTAATGAAGTTAATTTCAATTTTTTTTGGATTTGAAATGTACTTCTCCGATCCTTAATATAATACCTATTTAATTAATTTGATTAGATCAAAAAAATTAGGTAAGTTAGTTAATTATAAGAAATATGATATGTTATTCCTAAGATACTATAATCATCTTTTTAATATCCTCCCTTACTTTTTTTATTATGGTTAGAGAGTATCCATAGGGTATTTAAAAATAAAATAAATAAGAAATAATTTTTATATTTAAAACTAAAATTAATTTATCAATTAAGTCTTATATCAATTACAGAAGGAATAATAACTACCTAGAAAGTCTCTAGTGTAATGTAACAGCGACAACTGAAAAGGAATGATCCCCCAGTTGACCGGACGAATGGACCCTCCGAGATATGTTTCTGATAAAGTAGCCAAATCATAAAGAGGAATCCAACCGCAGAGTTATTGCGTGAGCCTTCAGCTTCTCTGCTTTGTCATTTCCATTCGCTGCCTTTGGATTTACTAGAAGGCGCGCATATTAACTGTTCACAAACAAATTTGCGTAAACACAGAACTCTTCCCATACACTTCTGAACAAACAGTTGATACTCTGTTGGTGGAATTAAGCTGACAGCAGTGTGGAGCACTAAACCGAAGTAAGAAAAACAGTAAATATTTTCCCATGTGAAGACTAAAGAATATAATAAACTAAAAAAATTATATATTCTTTTCATTAAAATTTAAAAATTAGCCTTCTTTTGTACTTGTTAAAAGTAATATTTATGTTACTCATCGTCCGTGGGTTCAGCTGGCGAAGGGGTGAGACATATGGCCAAGTTGGTATGTGTTCGATCCCTAGGGAGTACCACTTTGTTGTGGTTCCAGTCGCGGCGCTTGGGGAGGCATCCTAGTTCTTGGGTGCTTAGGTAAACGCCTGAAGGTAATTAACGGCTCGCCCTACCCAATATTGGTATGACCTAGGAGGAAGGGAGATTTCGTCATGCCTTTGGATCGTGGGTGAGCCCAACCCCTTTCCAAAAATTTGTTTATAAAAAAAAAGTAATATTTATGTTTTATATTAAATTTTCGCTTTAAGTTTCTTTTAAATCGGATTCTTTTCCCTTCTTTTATTTGCTTTTTACTGTTATAAAATTTTATGATATGATCATTAGTAAGATAGGTAGTAACTTAAAAAGAAAGTTACGATTTTTTAAAGAGTTTTAAATTTTAAATTTAAATAATACATGTGATATCATATCTAAACACCATAAATTTATTTATATGTAGCAAATTAAGATTTGAATTCCCACTGAGAAATGTGATTATATTTTCAGCTCAAAAAAAATGTGATTACATTTAGTAGTTGAAAGTGTCTTGAACACAGTTGCTTCAAACGTGAGCACCCAAGTTTGAATCCCTGCTGAAAGATATACCTACATTTAATACTTGACAGTATTTTAAATAAAATTATCTTCAATTGAAGAATATCTGTGCTTAACCAATAAAAAAGAAGAAGAAAAAATGTATTCATATCTGAAAAATTTCGAACTTTTCACGGATTTCAAAAGCTCCCAAAACATTAATATTATCACACATATATTTACCGGTATTTATTTCCATCGAGAAATAACTGGAGAAATGTACCATGTCATGCACAAACACGAGTTATATCTTATCATCAATTTATGCTTTCATCAAAAAGCCTAAAAATTCAATGATCGAAGACGGAAGAACATTTCAGCCTTCACTTCTCATGCTGCCTAGCTGAATGTTCAATGATGAACAAAATTTCAGCTTTCACTGCTGCTTGAAGTGATCTGGAAAGGAGTAATGAACCACTCATAATAAGCCACCGTGGTTTATTAATAGAAAAGTGATGAATATTATTATAGCTGTACGTAAAGCCTCTGAGTTTCACCTTTCAAATATACAACGTGTTGAGAACTTGTGGCCTAGAAGTCGCCCAAGGATCATATAACTCATGAGTTTATGCTTCAATTAGTACTCCTCCTTGATCAAAGATCTATTTAATTAATTTAATTAAGTTAAGAAGGCCGGGTTCTATATTAATGAAGGGAAGATTATATAATTTATAATGAATTATTGGAAACAAACTCATCCAATTTGCTCTTCGCTGAAAAAACACTATATCTTTTTTCTCATGTGCATTATAAGCTCCAAAAGGGAATCCATAATATATGCCCACAGCAATTATTGATTCATATTATTGATTCTGTCGTTACGTTTTCCTTTATTCTAGGATGTTTCTTTCCCTTTTATTTTCCTTTTTTCAATTGTGTACGAGTGTTTCCTTATTTTAGACAATGATGTTCGAGGCACACTAAGTACTTCTCATAATGAAGACTTAAGGCTCAATCATCAAATTATGGGGTTAAAAACTTTTAACTAATTTTGTTATATATCTCTTTTACCTTAACATATTTTCTTTATCGAATTGTATGACCCCATTTTTTAAATTTTTTAAATTGAGCTCATTAAAATTGTTCTTGTTCTCTCTTCCCCTCCAATTCCCTCATACCAAACATAGGATAATAGTGATCTTTGAATGTGAATTGAAAGCAAAAGCTTGGGTCCCTCCAACTAAGTTACTTCATGCTTACAAGTTGAAAATTGAACCATTATAACTTGTTTAAGAGATGAAAATCCTTCAAATTATTTCTAATTGAGTTGGCAATGTAATGGCATTTTTCCAAGCGATAGAGATCCAAGTAATTAAGTGATAAAGCCAACTCAATTTGGTTCCTGAATCGAAGTATTTTTAGGCATACTGAAAAGAAAAAAATCATTAAGAAGTACAAGGAAAATTTTCAGATAATCCTCAGTGTAGCAAATTTATTTCCAGTAGCTCCCGCGGAAATTTGAAATTCCACCGCAGCTTTAATTTTGAGGGTAGAATGAAATTAATTTCTTAAGCAAAAGGACCTAAATAACACTTTTGAGAATCAATGAATCACCTTATTTTTATTGTAAAATACCTTATTTCAGTTGCAAATGCTCTTAGTTTACTTGTCAAGATGCCAAATTTAGTTGGATATAATTTATGTTTCTTCTAAATGACCTTATTTGCAATGTAAAAGCTCCTATATGTCTTGTGATGAATTGCCATACTTTTATTGTAAAAACTCTAATTTCTTGTGAAGGCATGTTTACTAATTTACTTGTAAATGCCGTACTTCACCTTATTTGTGTTATAAAATTCCATATTCCAATAATGAATTTGCTTAGTTTCCTTGTTAATTAATTCCGATCTTAATTAAGTTTATTTGGGTATAATTTATGTTTTTTGTGAATCACCTTAATTATTTGAATTCTAAAATATCTTCTTTGTCCTGTGAATGTCCTTACTTTTGTTGTAGGTTCCCTGATGTTTTTTGCGAATGCAGGGTTATTTGGGCCTTTTGGCTTGAAAAAACAATTTCATTTTACCTAGAAAGGGGCACAGTGGAATTTCAGATTTCTACGGGGTTATTGAAAATAAATTTGCACGGTGGGGGCCTATTTGAAACTTTCCCAAATATAAATTATAAAAGACAAATGTGGCCAAATATAAACTGAACATTATTCATTGGCAAGCTACACTCTGCAATCTGCATGTCTTAATGTAGTCTTGCATCATCGAAAAACTTCACTCTCAAAAAGCCAAGCACACTTAGTTTCAATTCTTTAATTTGTTATCAATAACACACACACGCACGCACAGAAGCACAAGACCTGAACACATAAAGCAAGCTTCTCCAAAAAGTGGAAATCCTTGAAGATCTAAACTCCAAAGAGTTAGTATGCCTCTTTTGATAAACTAGCAATGATCCCCATTACACTTCAAGAAAGTGCTATTCTCAGGCTTTTCACTACTTCCTTCACTGATACACTATATTCCTCACTCATCTGCATAACATGTAAATATATATATATATATATATATATATAGACGTCAAGTTATTATAAAAGCGTCAAAATAATTATTCCCAAATAACAAATATAGGGTTGTGTACGGTATACACATATATGTACCTGAGCAATAATGGTAACATCAAGAGTAGAGGAGCCAAATGGAATGACACTGAGATTAAGATTTTTGAGCTCATCAAGCATTCTAAGCATTGCACAGTCCTGTTTCTTGCAGAGGATTCTGATGAGCGCTTGTTTGTCGTCGGACATTCTTGCTTTGACATCGGGGAGTACGTCGTTGTTGGGTGTGTACCTGTCGCCGGAGTTCACTTCACTCGACGCCGGCGTGCCTGCTCTGTCAATATCATCATTGTCATCATCTGCAGACGTTATCTTGTTCGCCTCTTTCTCAAGTTCTTTCACACGTTCTTGAAGCCGCTTCACGTAACTTATAGCTTCGCTCAGTATAGACGCCTTGTCAATCTACGCACAAATGGTTTTGATGAGACATGTTTCTGGTATCGTTTCATATATACGGTGAACTTCGTATGAAATGCTAATTAAGATCAGCAAGAAGACACAGTACTAAGTACGTAAGGTACGGAGTTGTGACCTTTTTCAAGCCGGGGATGGTGGCCGAAAGTGCTATGAACTTTTCTGTGAGTTCCTGTCTCCTTCTTCTCTCAGCCAGTATGTGATCCATGGCCCCAGCACCGCTTCTGGCCTTCTTTTTGCCTCTGTTCATCGCTGGTTCATAGTCAAGCATTTCAACGGTCCGTTTGGGCTCCAAGGAATAACTGCTAACATCTTTTCTCTGGAGCGAATGATTATAACTGGGGTCTGGGATATCGGGAATCACAACGGATTGATCGAAAGACAGAACGCAAGCGGTTCGGGGTGTTGTTTCGGAAGCAGATTGTTGAGAGTTGACGACGAAACTGGAGTTGGCTGAGTTGCCGGTGGTGGCCCCGCCGTCGGGCACAGGGGTCGGAGGCAGAATCGTTTCACTATCTGAAGATAATAAATTATTCGGGTCCTGCAGGATATCTCTGAGAAAACATTGTCCTTCATCATCCTGATCCGAATTCGTTCCTCTTATATCAAATTCGTTCTCCATGTCCTTGAAAACAAAGTAATTAATGATACAGAGCATAATAATCAATAAAAGAAGAAATAATAATAATAATAATAATAATAATAATAATAATAATAATAAAAATTTGGACTTACGAGCTCAGAGAGGAAAGCCTCCCAAGACAGCTGATCCATTTTGTGAGAATGCGGAGCAAAGCAAGGCCGTTTGGTTGCCTTTATAACCAAAGGGATTTGAAAAGACAATGTGAACGTGCAAATAAGGGCTTAGGGCGGCACATATGAATGCATCGCACGTGTGGCAGTAAAATGGAGGAAATAAGGGTATGATGGGGAAAAATTGTTACTTATATTTTTCCGATCACATAATTGAAAGTTCACTGCTGTGAAATGTATTTTTTTTTATTTTCATAAAAACAACACAAATTTGAAAATATGGAACCAAATCGGCAAATTAATTCCGGCTACCAATTAATGAACTTGTCATTTATCATTATGGTCTATGTAATAGTCCTCCGGTCCTAAATATAAAATTTTTTTTATAGTGTAAATTACACTATAAAAAAGGTCTTATATTTAGAACCGGAAGGAGTACTATATTTGTTTAGACTTAGAAAGTCGGTTGTGATGTTAATGAAACTTTGTTTTAAAATTAAGTTTTATGTGTTCATGAATTATTTTCAAAATGAAATTGTAGACAAATATAAAATGAAATACTAATAGCCAATATTATACATGAAGCCTATAATTTCACAAGTGCACGAATTGATCTCTTAAAGAAATTGGTGCCAACAACAGGTCATTTTTGTTGTTTTTTCATATATAAAAATAAAAATGGCTAAACTTTGTGCTTCAGTCTTTACTCATCAGACTCATTTCAGTCTTTTGAAAGAACTAGTCCTCTTCTAGTTAACTCCAAGAAATATGCTTCCTAGAAGGTGATCGAAGGCATTCTAATTCTCCGATTACATTGATTTTTTATTTTATTTAAATTGTAATTTTTTTCAATCTTGTTGATAAACTTTTTTGATATAAAGGCACATTTGTCATTTAATTATATTTGCAAAATACCCAATCAGACATAACTCTTTCTCTTGAGATTTTGAAGTCTAAGTCCCTGAATTGGATTATTGTAATTTCCAACTATGTCATTTTTCCTTGTTTAATTATCTAAAAAGTAGTGTGACGTGGATGATGGTTAAAAAACAAAGACTGATGACTGATACATAAACTTTTTTATTGATATTATTGATTCATCCCGAGGCTGCCAAAAGGCAACGAATTATCACATGGCTGTTAGGTTGTGTAATGGTACATGGTTTAGGCAGAGCAGGCTTGGAAGCATGTATAAATCATGACATATATCTCTATTTTAAATACAAGAAAGACTTGACAAAGAAAAGGTTCACTTTTGGAAAATTTTCTTTTCAAAAAGACATCCTACAATATTTTTTGGGAGAATTATACTGAGATCTCAAAGAAGAAAAATAATTACAAAACAAATCCCAAATGTTGTCATTTCCTATTCTAGAACTCATTATTACAAGCTACTTAGGTTGTTATTGGGACTTGTTAGTAATTATTTTTCTTTCTTAGGACTTGATTGTAATTCTCCCTATTTTTTAAAAATTAAACAAAAAAATGAAAAACAAAAAACAACATATTTTGTAATTTGTGGCATGCAAGTAGTAAGGTATCATGCCTTGTATGTTTAGAGATTTTCTCCAAAATACTGCATCACAGACCTTTTCCCCCCTTAGCGTAAGCCCAAATGGCTACATGTGATCTCATCCTACTAAGTATTTGTGCATTATCACTGCGCAGAATGTATGAAAATTTTTTTTTACATCTCTCCCCAAGGGCCTATTTGTATTTGTCATGAAATAAGTCACCAAAAAAATAGAGTCAGGAAGAAATGGTGGGAAAAAAAGGGAGAACTGTAAGTTCTGTTTGGCATGAAACACTAAGAATAAGAGATGAGAATTGCGATTAAAATTAAGAAAATTTCATTAAGAAAAAGTGTTTAATATGAGGAATTACATATTACTTAAGACCCGTCTAGGGTGCATAGCAAACAAAAAAATATTTGGATTGTAGATTCGATTTTGTAAGGAAAACAAACAAGGGCTTGAAAATGAATTGGGGTTGGAAGGAACACGATGTTGTCTGGGGAATGGTCGTTGCTTGTGCCTCCTTTTATACTTGTTCATTCTCTCCCTCTTTTCTCGCTTCTAACACCACTTCTTCTGCTAAACCAAAGCTTCCACTTCTTTCACTCTCTCATGGACCACAACCCCTCTTCTCTCCAACATTTGGTGTGTGTGTGTGTGTGTTTATAACAATCAATCACGCTCCCAATATTATTAATTATTAATTTCTTCAACATCGCTATTCTATTGCGTTTCTTTTTTCACTTTGATTATCAAAATTAATTGGCCCTAACTCTGCTTGTTTTGGGCCAATCATCAATTTTGGTTCTCATACAGGAAATGGATGGTCAGGGTTTCTTCGATGAGGACGAGTTCTTGAGCGACGACATCTTTCACCAAGCAGAAAGCAGTCTCCGTCCTCAAGTCGAATCAGACCATAACTCCTCCTCCTCCTACGCCGCCGACGCCGTCGCAGATGCCGTCAACAACACATCCTTCACCCACAACAATGATGGCTTCCCCGCAAGCACTGGCGCCAACTCATTCTTCAACGATCCCAAGCACCCCGCCGTTTCAGCCTTCACTCTGTCTTTTGATAAATCCACCATCATCCCCATCACAGACGAACCTCCATGTCTCGCCAGAACTTCCTCTCCGCCATCGAAACCACAGCGAGCGATTCGCAGCGCTGAACACCGAAACAAGTCCAGATCCTCCTCTGAAGTCATTCATCACATTATAACCGAGAGGAGAAGAAGACAGGACCTCACTCAAAAGTTCATAGCACTCGCCGCCACCATCCCCGGTTTGAAAAAGGTCACTTAGCTTTTATTCTCTCACCACTTACTTGGATTATGTCCATAAAATACATAAAATCTTGTATTGCCGAGTGTGTATAGATGGACAAGGCGACTGTACTTTGCGAGGCGATCGATTACGTGAAGCGACTTCAAGAGCGAGTGAGAGAGCTGGAGAATAGTGAAGAGAAGAGGAAAAGAAGAGGAGGAGGAGGAGGAAGAGTGAGGAAAGAGAAAACCTCAACGGAGAAGTGTTGGTGTTGCAGAGCCCAGGAAGCGGTTGAGGTTCCAGAAATGGAAGTGAGGGTTCTGGAGAATGAAGTTCTGGTTCGGGTTCAGTGCGAGGGCCGACGAGATATGATGCGGAAGACGGTGGAGCTCCTTGAACACGTTCATCTCCCTGTCTCATGCTGTAACTCTCTGGCTTTTGGAAACTCTGCTTTGAGCATCACCATGGTCGCTCAGGTACATTCCTTCCTTCAACTCTAATGAATCGTCAGCATTTTCTTCGTGATGTACCTCTGCAAGTTGATTGTTTGCTGAATCTATTATTATTATTATTGCAGATGAAGGACCAATACAAGATGAAGGTGAATGATTTAATCAAGTATTTGAGGCAACATCTGTTCAAATCCCAGGATGTTCGGTAGGGATTCGTGCTAGCAGTGATGGATCAAGATTATAGTTAAGGTCTTACATTGTTTGGACTTGTGTAGCTTTATGTTTCGTTTTGAATCATCCAGCGATTCGACCCGGTTGTTGACTTGTTGCTATATAGCTCAACGCTTAATTAGATGATGTGTGGGGAGGATGATGAGCATTGAGCACCTATGAAATAAGAATTATCTTAGGTTAATATAATTTTTAGTCTTTTAAATTTGTATTCATTTTAGTTTTAGTCTCTCAAATTTTAAATTATAAATTTTGGTTCCTCTAAAAGTAAAATGATCCATGTTTTTATTGAATTACAGGAAATAATTTTTTAAATGAAAAGGAATTTAAGAGACCAAAATCTATGATTTAAAATGTAATGAATCAAAATCAAAATAAAAATAAAGTTGAGGAATCAAAAATTATATTAATCCAATTATTTTTTTGAAAAAATGATAACCAAAAGGTTAGTTTTATTTTAAACTCTGTACTTATCAAAATAATTCTGTAACTCTATCATTCACCGATAGTCTTCGACTTAGCTTTTCCCTTCACTGAGTGACTCAAAGCATGGGGATGGGTTTAAATTGTGTCCTAATTTATTATTTTTTATGTATTGAGACTTCTTATTAAAGTACATATATTTTAAATTGAGTTAAAGTTAAAAAGTTACTCCTCTGATCCTTAATATAAAATCTAATTATTGAGTTGATTTTAGTCTTAAATATAAGATCTATTTCTCATATTTACCAATTTTTCTTAAATTATCTTTATGGATGGTCCATCAACCATAATTAAGTGAAAGAGAGGGGGGATATTAAGGAGATTATGGTATTTTAGGAAAAACATATCATATTTCTTATAATTAACTAACTTATCTAACTTTCTTAATCTAATCAAATTAATTAAATAGGTATTACATTAAGGAACGGAAAAGTATTAAATTTTTATATAAGAGTTAATAAGGTTCTTATTGATTCAGATGAAATATATTGAAAATGTCTTATAAATAAGAGTTAATACTACTTTTGATCCTACTTATATGAGCTAAACAAGAAATTCATTTAGGTCCTAAATTTAATATTTTAATTCACGTTGTCTTTTAAATTTATAATATTTTGTCCAAAATATTTTTATTGATTGCACATATTGAGGGACTCCCACTTCATGATTAAGTTAATACACATTATTTTTTGCCAATAATTGTAAACATGGTACTTCCTTGATAGACGTAATTTGATCTTAGAATAAAAAACTTTGATCAATCTATCTCATTCATTTAATATTGTTTTAATATTATCCTCACTAATTTATTTTCACTCCTTTTTCTAATATATTTAATGCTCTTATTAAAATAGAGATAATTTAGAAAGAATGATACACAATTTTTGCATACTAATCATAAATAATTAGGGGAGAATCTCACCCAAAAAAAAATTAAAATTACTAAAATTCGCATAAAAAATTCTTACATAAATGTGTTGTTATTTACAAATCAAATGTTGTCAAAACCTATTAAAGTATAAGAGTCAAATCTGATCCGAGATTTTAGTAATTTCAAGTTTCTTTTTGTATGAAATTCTCTCAATAATAAACTTAATCAATTTTTTAATTTCATGTAAATTAATTAAACAGGTTTTGTATTTAGATCGCAGAAAATATGTCTCATGAATGCTTTCTTTCTTTTTTCTTTTCTCATTTTTGTTTTCTCATATGAGAACCTCACGAATGCTTTTTATTTGAGCCAAAGAAAACACGAGTATTACTATTATTGTTGTTATTTGTTATTTTGGGTTGAATATGAATGGATGGTCAATCCTCAGACGCCAGAAAAGGCAGGACTGATCAGTATTCACACGTGCCCACCCAATCCGCATAGAGGGCTTTTGCATCTGCATGTGGCAGCAGGTACTGATAGCACTCTTGTTTTTGTTTCTTCTTCCTTCTTTTTTTTTTTTTTTATAGTGTTCGTGTAATGGAGGATTTAAAAAGTCGTAGTTAATTGTTAACCAAAAATTTTGAATAGGTAATGAAATACACTCCTCTTGCCCTTAATATAGGATCTAAATTAAGAGTTAATATTAATTCTATATATAAATCTTATGTAATTAACATATTTAATATGTTCAAATTAGTTAATTAGTCTTACATTAAGAATAAGAAGAACAATAAATACTTATATAAAAGTTATAAAAACATGAAAAAGTGACTTTAAATTGCCAAACTTTTATAATAAATAGCTTATAGGTGTTGTGACCTTATTTAATTACTTGGATAAAATTGGAATTTTATTTTTGATTTTATTTCTCAAATGGACGCAGCGTCCTGATTTTTTTAGTGATACAATTTTACCTATAATCTTTTTTTTGGCAATTCACCCATGATCTTTTTTATGTTGGTGCAATCTTACTTATTACTAAACATAACATAAACACATAATTACACCCAAAAAAATATTATGGATAAAATGGCACTACTGAGAAGATCCGGGTGCCGGGCACATATAAGAAATAGAATCAAAGGTAAAATTATACATTTACCCTAGTGATTTTAACAAGTTGAAAATCTAAAAAAATATGATTGATTAACTGTGAGACAGAAATTGCAAATATCCAATCAAATGCAATGAATAACTAAATAAAAATTGTTAATAACTGGATGGACATTATTAATTGCTAAACAAACTAATAAGGTATATTTAATAGCTAAACAAAAATTGTGAATAATTTGTAGCCAAACCTAAGTAATCTGTACATTATTTTACATTATCTTGATGACAAAATTTGGTGGCTGAATGGTCATTTACAATTTTAAAATTCAAGTTGACGTAGGCATTTGTGTTTTTTTTTTTCCACTTGAGTTTAAAATCCCATTTCAGGATCCCACATTTCACAAGAATTATGCGATTTCAGTGCATCATATTGGCTTTTCGTAATTTTTAGGTTTTTTTACTATCATTTATTTTTAGAAAAAATCTTTATTTTCTTTTAAAAAGCTCTTTATCAGGCCTACCTTTTTTTTTTTTGGGGAAAAAGAAATCTGTCGGGTTCACCATTCATGTACATGTGAATCAGTACTTCCCTGTGGGTGTGTGTTCCTAAATTTTATTATTTTTGTAACAAAAAAAAATTATTATTTTAGAGGCAACGTGATCCACGGGGGAAGTGAGGAAGTCCTTTCTATTCCTAATTCCATTTATTTTAATTTTATGCGGCTCCCATCCTTCCAACTTAAATTATTCAATGATACAAATTTTCAAGACGAGGCACAAAAAAAAAAAAGATTGTAAAATCATCAATTCAAATGAAATTCAAAAGCCACCATAAAATAATAATAACAAAACATATTTGGGAGCCATATAATAGGGAAAATGACCAAAAAAATGACTGTTGAAATTTGAAATGACAAAATGGGCATGCAAATAACTGAAATGACCAAATGGGCATGAGGTATTAATCTGGAATTTTGACAATTCGGTAGAAAGATTAAAATGTCCTGGAACCTCTCTAAAGACATGAACTGAAAGAAAACACATAATATACCAGAAGAGAGAGAAAGCTGAGAAGACAAAGTTGGAGCAAGAGTTGAAATCTGAAAAGAGGAAAAAGGTAAGCAATTTTTTTGTTAAAATGCTAGTATCGCCTGCTTTCTTAACTCGAGTTGCTGCTGCATGCTCAAATGGGGATGGGCTTGTGAGTGTAGAGGGTTTAGATGAAGAATTTGACCAGGATGAGAGAGTGACGCATTAGAAATGGAAAAATGGTGGCAAACAGTAAGCATGAGGTGGTCAGTATTGTTAAATTCATTAGTGAAATTGTAAAATCCTATATTTAAGTTGTCAATAGAGTAAGTGGGTGTATGTGTTTTTTGGGTGTTTCGGAAAGTAAATGAAATTGATTATTGGGGAACCAAAATATTGATTTGTGGTTCTTTGCTGCAGGTTAGCAAACTTTGATGACATCTAACATTGGGTCTAACATTGAGGAGTAATTTTTTGGTTTGAATGGAATAACTTTTGAACCATTTTTTTTTTTTGGAGAATGGTTGATAGGTAGGTTATCTTTTTTGTAAATGATGATAACTGGGTAGAATATGTTTTGTAATCTGAATGACAAGGAAACATTAGGTGGTGGTTTAATCTTAATGTTAACTTGTCATTTGAATATAAGTTATGTAGCTTCTGTCATAGGCGTACTGGTTTTTGGTAAAATTTGTCACTTTAGTAGTCAATTCCATTACACATGTAGTAAAGTCTAAATGTTAATATAAACATATTATGATGTTCTTCAGGTATACTTGTATGCTATTTTGTCAACACATTTTGCCATTTGTTTAATTCCCCCAAGGGAGACAATGGAAGTTGGCAATGGGCATGACCGGAGTGGTTAATTTGATTATAAATGTTGTTATTCACATTACAAATGTTGTTATTATCATTATGGGGGTAGTAAGTGGCTATGGCGTATCGTCTTACAAGCATGTGTGTGTGTTCATTGCTGCTAGGGCTATTGATGCTTGAGGTTGCGGGATTCAAGTTTTGGAAATTTAGAAGTTGATATAGTAGTGTTCAGAGACTGTTTAATGAATCTGAATTATATATTAGCATGTTCTGAAAGTGGAAATAATTTGCAGATTATATATTATTGCTACTTGAAATGTTTTGAAGGTTAAAAGCTAATTCTATACTTGTAAAATATTTGTATATATGTGCGTATGTGGGTCATTGCTTGTGAATTGATGCTTGTAGAATTAAAGTATTGAGACATAAAACTGATTTTTTTTTTAAATCTGCTGGTTTGAGATTTGAAGAGCCAGAGATTAAAAACTGATTTGGACATAATGATTTATGTCTCTAAGTGCTGAATTATGGTTGTGCTTTTTGAATCAGATTGTTTTATAGCCTATGAGCTCAAAGTAGAAGCTGAAAAATCAATTTCAGTTACTAAATTATGCTTTCATGTGGTGGCTAGTGAATCATGACCTTAATTCAAGACGTGAC